GATGTAGAAGAGCGTCAGGAACAGCCGTGTTTGCATGTTATACCTGATGCAGAAACACGTGCAAATGATCATCAGTATCAGCAGTTGATTGTCAGTGAATTCTCGCTCCAGTGCTGATGTTGTGTCCACAGTTGGGTCATAACGGAGCGACTCCCGAGAGCTGCTGGCTGGTGGACGAGCTGTCGGTGGCCGTTCCCACCAAAGGCATTCAGTACAGCTTTCTGTGCAAGTGCTGGCTGGCCAAAGACAGAGGAGACGGTCTGACGGCCAGAGTCTTAAACATACTGGACGCCACCACCATCAGCATCATCCGGAAGGTCCAGACGCTTGTTAAAGTGCCCCTATTATGGATTTCTGAAAATTACCTTTCATGCCGTGTGTAACACAGCTCTCAGTGAATGAAAACATCCTGCAAAGTTTTAAATCTGAACGTGCACCGTGTATAAAGTTATTGTCTCTCAAAACAAAGAGTCGACTCTGAATCATTTAAACGAGTCGTTTTTAAAACGAATCCCATGCCGTTACATGTTGACGTCAACATGAGTCATTAGCATATTGCCCGCCCACATGTTGGTCTTTGTTGGTCTGAATGAAAATGCAAATTCATTCTTTGCCACTAGGTGCCGCTTTTGGAGCGGTAAAAATATCTGTTTCCCCGGTAACAACGCTATACACAAAGCAGCACTGCGCTCACAAACACAGCTTTATCAGGCATTACAGGCGAGATCCAAACAGACCAATCACTGCAGATTAGTGTCACGCAAAGCAGGGGTTTGGAAAAATGAATCGTTGAGTGAATCGTTTGGGAGTCCTTGAGCAAGTATGGTAAAAATAAATGCATATTATAAGACAGTGAAAGTGTTTTTTGACCTTGCATTAGAGATCACTTCTTACCCGAACCCGACGTGCATAAATTAATTTTTTTTAAAGAAAAACCCGACCTGAGTCCGACGGCATTTATTTTCGAACCCGACTGGACCCGAACGTAAACGGCATTGACGTCTATACAGCCTGCAGCCCCGCAGTCAGTCGGGAAAAATCCCGGTGTCCTGTTGACTGATTTGGCCACTTCTCCATTACTTTGATTTATTAAACATTTATTCAATTTATTATTAGGTTACTTTATCTTAGTGCCTGCCTGATGGATACAAGGTATTTCTGAGCTCCGCTTTCAATTGTGACCAGTGGATTTGAAAAATAAACGTGATAGTTTGATAAAAAATAAATCTATGTGCGTTCCTCTCTTAACACGAAAGTTAACCTACGCATTCGGGATAGTTTAAAAGAATTCGGGTCTAATCGGGTCCATTTGGGAAAAGCATGTTTATTTTAAATTACCCGAGACCCGAGGCCGCTAATACCGAACCCGACCCGTGTCCGAGGTACTCGTCGAAGTTTTGGACTCGGACCTCGGGTTTTCGGATCCAAGTGGACCCGTGAAGACCTCTACCTTGCATGCATGTCAACCTGTTGTTGGGGACTCCCAAAACCAAAATATGAACCTTTCATAACCCATAATAGGGGCACTTTAAGTGTGATGAATCTGAAGGTCTCTGTGTGTAGATGGTAGGGCTCATATTCTGGCTGTTGTTCAGGTGGTTTATGAGGTGACGGTGGTCACGGGTGACACTCAGAATGCAGGAACGGACACCAACATCTTCATAACCGTGTTTGGGGCCAACGGGAGCATGGAGGAGATGCTCCTCGCCAAACATGCGGACAGGTGCTTATCTACCAGAATCCACATCACGTTTTGTTCAGATTTTGAATCAGTTTTTGTAATTTTGTTTGTCTGTTATTTTTGTTACATTTTGAAAAATACGTCAATATAGTTTCTATTTTATTTAGTTTTAGATATATTTAGTACATCAAGTTAAAGTAAAAATGAAAATGTGAAATGTCGACTTGGCTGAAATAAGTTTAAGTTTATTTCAGGTAACATTTATTTTAAGTAACAGTTTTTTACTGTTTTTTTAAGTTTCTTTTTTTAATATTTTGAAATAATTTTTATATTCATATTTTCCATTTTAATTTTAAAGTTAAATTCATAACAATTTTGAGGTGTTTTTGTCATGTTTATTAATTATATATTAATAAACATGACAAAAACACCTCAAAATTGCTATGAATTTAATATATATATATATATATATATATATAT